AGAACCTACAACTCTCATGCGTATAAAAGCGCCCTCGATGGCAGCAAATAAGTGGCGAAAATGAAAGCTGATAGTAAGAGTATTTCCGTCAGCCGTTGAAGTCAAATTTTTGGACAACAGACAAAGTATTATGATTATCCGCCGCCTTCGACGTGAAAAGAAAGGCAGCCTAAAAGATCTCAATGATAAGTCTGGATATCCTCAGGAAGATGAGAACATTCTTGAGCGATGGAGAAAGAAATTTGAAGAACTCCTTGACCCTGAACTACCGCAGGAAAATTTGCCTAAAGATAAGCAGGGAAAGTATATTAGTATTTTATAAAGGAAATCACTCAAGCTGTAAAAAGCTTGAAAAATGGAAAAGCTGCTGGAATTGATGAAATCCATTCTGAAATGCTCAAACAATAGATGAAAAAGGCATGTGCTGGCTTGCCCGTGTCTGTCAAACTGCAATGACAACGGGGAAAACACCAGCGGACTAGAAAACGGCGGTTGCGCTACCACTGTTCACGAAGGCACACTATGGGGAGTGCTCTAATAATCGGGGCATTGCTCATGGAGCCTCTAGGTCAAAGTCTACGCAGAGGTTCTAGAAAGGAAATGCCGCGCAATAACTGACTGTAAGGCACAAAAAGAGCAGTGTGGCTTCTGGCCTGGTCGAAGTACCTCTGACCGTATATTTACAAATTGTTGAGAAATCGTGGGAGTACGCCCATCCGGTGCACATGTGTTTTGTTGACCTAGAAAAATGCCTATGACCGGATACCACGCAACTGTCTGTGGACATGCCTTCGTGCATACGGGATTGATGGCAAGTTGGTAAGGGCCATCCAATCACCGTATTCTGATAGCACGTGCTGCGTTAGAGTTAATAGCGTTAAGTCGAAACCATTCAACGTTCGCACTGGTCTCCGCCAAGTCTGCGTCATGTCCCTATCCTGTTTGTGTTGTACATGGATAGAATAGTCAGGAGCTGCCAAGGCGATGAGGGTATCGGTGTAGGAGATATGAAAACGAGAAGGTTGCTGTTCGCAAAACTACCTTGTTTCATTAGCATCTTCTGAAACTGATCTCCAGTGCTCTCTAGAAAAATTCCCAGCCGAGTGCGACGTGACCGGCATGAGTATCGAAGTATCAAAGCCTAGTGCTTTCTCGTTGGTCGTTGCTCTGTTTAGATTAACGGCAAAGCACTGGAGGAGGTGGAGTAATCTACGTGATGATGAAAAATGGGCGGAAGAAAGACCGGCAAATTTAATGACCATGACGCCGTGCATGAAGTAGACCTGAGTCTGAAGACGAAGCTCTGTATGTTCAAATAAATCTTTAATTCGATGTTCTTATGAGGTCATGAGTCGAGGGCAATGACTGAAAACCTTCGATCCTCAGTACAAGCGGCTGAAATGGGCTCTCTGAAATGAATCATTGGGCTCGCTCATTTGGACATAGTCCGAAGTACAGATATTTGAGAGATCCTTGTTGCTTAGTTGCTGTTTCTTCAGATTAAGAAGTCACACCTGCCACGGTTTGGGCACGTGTTGCGAATGGCTGCAGAGAGCATAGCGAAGCAATTGCTACTTGCCCAGTCGATCGACAGAAGACACAGGTGACTACGAAGATTATCCTGAGGCAAGTGCATTGAAGGAGTCTGCTCTAAACTCCGGTTGTCTTTTTCCGAAGCTCAGACTCTGGCACAAGATCGGGAGGAACATTGGAAGCACTCTTGACGGGTCTGCCTTCGTGACTCGAAAAGAGAGAGGATCATGCAAACTGAATGAATTAGTATGATCGGTTTTCACATGACTGGTCACATGCTCATTCTCCCTTGCAAGAGACGAAGGATGCAGTTAGTTTGTTCGTGTTGTGTATTGTTATCGCAAAATTTGACTGATATGTAATCATGGAACCAATCACTCGCCAGACGTCTTGCCAGAAGCATGGCATGTGAGAGTTGAGAGATCGTTGAACATAATTCGGCTCATCGTTCTCATAATCCTTCATTAGTCTACCACGAGCAATTATTCTTTGAATGGTCCTTGCTTATTATCTTTCCTTCCGATAACTTTTTCTTGCCTTGCCTGTTCAGGTTAGCTATAATGCCAGCATTGGTGCCCAACGATGGTTATTTAATTAGTATGGCTCTTTTTCCGCGCTATTCGTTGTTTAAACAGCAACGTTTAACACTGACACCGAGATAGTCATTTTTGGCGACTGTGCGGATGAAATGAAAAAAATCTGTCCTGGCTGCAATTGCTGTCTCGAAGAAAGATGAGTTCTTCTTAGTAATGCCTACTACTCCCACGAATTCATGCTTCCGTAACTCTAGCATTCATATCATGTTTTCGTATATTGTTAAATTCTGATGTTCAGACTTGGTGCCAGAAGAAAACCCCCTACTCCTAGATCCATATGAATTTTCGATGAAACATTTTCAATGATTTTTCAATTTTTTCAATATCAATTCAATTTCAATTTCAATTTTTCAATTTATGTAACTGTTTCAGGTGTTGCAGTTGCGAAACAGCAAGAAGTAAAAATATTTTTACTTCGAAAACTTGCATTTTTATTGGATTCCGAGAATGGTGGTTTTCTGCCCAACTTACCTCTTGCTACCTGCATAGTAAACAATTTGGGAATGCGGCACAGTTGTTGAGTCAGAGGGTTTAAATCGACAAGAGGTAGTAGCTTTGATCTCAGATCTCATGAAACAGGAATTTATGGCGTAGTTCAAATTTATAGTATAGTTTATAACGCTGATAGCGTAGTTTAAACAATAATTCATTCTTTCAAAAAAGATATGTTATTCGTGCAGCTAATTCAAATAAAGAACCAACTAAAAAACTATTCGCTAAGAACAGGCGTCTTCAGACACTTGAGGAAGATTCCAGATTTCATCGTAGTCAATCATCTAAGCTTATTTTATGAGGTACAGCGGTTGCTATCAATAAAAATGAAGCTGCATCAGCTCATAAAAACAGCAAGCGGAATTAAAAAATTTAACCATTATATCAAAATGATTTGGAAAAAATAACATAAAACGGTTTACTTATACACAACGCAAAAGATACTGTGGTCAGTCCGGTGAAAGACCTATGCCGACTTTTCGGCCCGTGTCTCATGGGGAGGAGGCCTACTGGCTCTAAAACTATCGAATGCTGCAGGCAACCAATCACATTCACCAACTTACCTTGAAGAAGGCCCACGAGGCACAGACCGAAACGTCGGTATTGGCCAGTTACCGGACGGTCATAGAATCCTTGGATTGTGTTTAAGTAAAAGGTGGTTGACGCAATTTTTTCTGTATTACCACCAATGCACTAAAGAACTGCTCTATCTACAGTAAAACTATATTTCACGTTTCATATTCCCAGTAATAGAAACGGCTGCTGCTGCTGTAGCATGCGCTGAACATCATCTACAAGCTTCAGATAACGCTAGTTACAGCACGTGTTGAACATCAATTGCTGCAGCATAAAAGGAATGACGATGTGTCCTACTCTTTGCTGATCTCGAGGACAAACCTGGAACGTTTCCGGAGGGAAAACTAGCATGATTCGATCGCCACTTACGGGATAGCGATGAAACCTCATGAGCTCACTAGCCACTAAAATGAGAACGGAAACTTAACAACCAATAATCTGTGGCTGATTCATCACGTGGCAGGCGTGTTTATTAAAATCATCAACTTTGAGCCGCTAGCATAAGTAGAACGATACTGATTTGCATTTTCTGCTATGTTCACAGCTGTCTAATACTTTTGCTATAAGGCATTGGCAATTGCATCAGAAAAGGACGTATTCCTCTCCAGAAGATCTGCTTTCACCTTGTTCCTCCAAGTTACATGCTGGACGTCTGCCGTGTTTCGACTCCTGTACGAACGGCTCATGGGCTGGAGTAAATGCTTTATGATAAACCAGTTTGGTTAACAATGCCAATTTCCTTTA